GAGGGGCAGGTGCCCGGATGGGGCTGACCACCTTAGGGAGCAGTCACAGCTTACTCTTTGCCCCTGATAGGGCCCCCTGGCCCTGGCCCCTTGTTCCCTGGGCTACTGCCTACCCCGTTCCTGAAGACACACCTCTTCTCAGGGTCTCTCACAAATAGCCCTGTCTCCTTCTGGCCAGTGGCTATTTTTCTGGAAGTGGAGATGGAGAAGCCCCTCCCTGGGCAGTTCTGCTCTATGCTGCAGCAAGGCCAATGCCCCAGGGCTGCTGCAGGGGGTTCCCTGCCTCCTGCCTCTTCCTCAGTCCTGCCCCATTTGGACGCTGATCCCCCCCCTCTCCCCATGTTGGCATTCCTGGCCAGCAGCCCACCCGCCCTGGAAGCCTGTCTGCCACCTCATTCTGGTGCCTGTCATTCCCACTGCCCTGCATCCCTTGGCCAGGGGCCCCTGTACAGCTGCTCAGGGGTGGCTTTGAGCCCCCCACCCCCCACCCCCAGGCTGGTGCTCTCACAATCTTTGGGATCCTAATGGGGTGGGGTGGTGCTGGATTCTTGTTACCCTGCGTATCCCCTACTTGTTCTGCACCGATTGCCAGGGGTCTCGAGGGCTCCGGCCACCCCTCCTCCCTGCGCCCACTCTGCCATCCCTCCATTGCCGCGTCCATCTGTGGCTTCCCCTGTGAAACAGAGAAGTCGGAGGGCGGCGCAGATGGACCCCGAGGAGAGGCTGCGCTACACCACCACGCGCCGCCTGCGGCCTGACATGAAGACGCACCTGGACCGCCGCTCATGGTAGAGCTAGGGCGCGATGGGCCGCGGGTCCCCGCGGGAGGCAAGGCCCGGCCCGAGGGCCTGGAGGCTGCCGAGGGCGCGGACCTGCCGCGCACGCACCACCGGCACCGCGACAAGGCTGTGGCCCCGGCCCCGGCCCTGGCGGCAGCGGGGGAGCAGGACAGGGTGGACGCGAGGAAGGCTGAGGGCGGGGAGCCCGGGGCCCGGGAAGAGCGGACGAGGCCGCACCGCAGCCGTAGCAAGGAGACCCCAAGCGAGCGTGGCCGCGTCCCGGGCCCCAAGGGCGGCCGGCGCCACCACCTGCGCGGCTCCCCAGAGGAGGCGGCCGAGCGGGAGCCGCGCCCACCGGCACGCACACGACCAGGGCAAGGAAGGCGGCGCGGCCGGGGCCAAGGGCAAGCGGCGAGCGCGCCACCGCGGCGGCCCCCGGGCCGGCCCCAGGGAGGCCGGGAGCGGGGAGGAGCCGGCGCGGCGGCACCGGGCCCGGCACAAGGCGCTGCCCACGCACGAGGATGTGGAGAAGGAGGCGGCGGAGAAGGAGGGCGAGGTCGACGACCGGGACAAGGAGAAGGAGCTCCGGAACCACCAGCCCAAGTGAGGAAGTGCGCATGCGGGTGGTGGGCGGAGCCGCTGGCCGAGACGCGGCTGGGGGTGGGCCGGCCCCACAGGGCTCAGGGTGCGGAGGTGCCTGGCGGCCCCTGTTTGGGCTGGTCCCCCCGCCCTCTGTTTCCATCTCTCTCTGTGGTGGTGGCAGTCCTGCCTTGTTGGGGGGGACGTGTAGAATGTTTAAAACTGTGTGTTTTTGGGGGGGGCAGGGTATGCTCAGTGAATGTCAGCCATTATTCTAAGGTACCCAGGTGGGAAAGAGGGCGTGGGGGAAATTGTTTGGAGTGGTTTCGGACACGTTGGCGTGGGAAGAGCATAGTGGCGCAGGGAAAAGAGAAAATTGGGGAGAGGCTGAGGAAGGCCTGAGGAGGCCACTGGGCTAATGGTAGAAGACAATAGGGCC